AAAATCATGTTGATCCTGTTGCTGGTAAAAATGCAGAGAATGCTGAGAGGGCTAGGTTTATTAAAAAGTACCCTCACGCCGACATGAATAGGTTTAAGTTTGAAGCAAAGGCTACTAGTAGTGGTGATATAGGAGTTATCACTTGGTTTGTTGATTTAGATGGTATATCTTCATATGATATTAGATATGACGGTTTTAAGAAGGATAAGGAATTCACATCTTATCTCACTAGTACTAAGGAAATTATTACTCCAGTACAATTCAAAACTATGACTGACATGGATCAACCTCCACTAGAAGTAATAACAACCAAGTGGCCTTCAATGTGGTCCAGTGGTGGTATAGTTCAGAAGATAAGTTTTACTGAGGGTGATCCTGTTATTGGAAAGTATCCTCCTATTACAAAAACTAATCCTATCTCCAACTTTAAGGTTTATGTTAGTAATAGTGAGTTTTTCTATAGTAACCTTCCTAAAATTAGTGATTTTATTAGTATTGATAATGTTACACCAAAGTTTAATAGAGAGTTGTCGTATTATGCTACAATATGTGGAACTTATGTAGCTACATATCTATGTGGAGTCTCTACTTATCATACAAGTCCTCATAGTAATGTAAATCCTATTATCACATCTATTATGAATTTTCATGTGTACTTATGGATTAGAAGGTTTATTAAAAATCCTAGTTTACTTCAGCAGTATTCTGATAGGTTAAAGGTAATATCTAGTAATATTCCTGTTAAGGGTCAGCGGGAGGTTGATAAGTTTAGTGATAGTCGAGCATCTATTGGAATTGTGTACAGGAAGTTTAGAAATGATCATAGAACTGTTAGAAATGTTAGGTATGCTAAAAATACATCTGGAATGATAGTTGGGATTAGTTATGATGAGCTTACAGGTATGTCTTCCCTTGCTAGTCTAAATGATTATATGAGGTATTACGCAAACAAAAGCGCGGGTCTTGTTGATACCTCACTTCTTCAGGAAAGCTTGCAATGTTATGTATACTGTGTCCTTGGAGCTCAAGCTAATACTCGGTGGGCTATAGTAAACCGCGGAACCTTCTCTTTACTGTCTCAAAACGGATTCCGTAAACTTGTAGAAGATGTTGTAGTTCAAACTGATATTTCAGTTGGAATCACTAATATGAGAACAGCAATTAGAGATACTAACGCAATAGTAAATACAGCAATAAATCCTGACATTATTTTATTTCCATCAAATTTGGTAATATTAAAGGATCCTATTCCCGGTTATAATAATATTCTACTTAAACCTAACTCTAGTGTTAAGTTTGGTGTAAATACTAAAGTAAATTATGTAGGTGTTAAGAAAGCTGATACTCCAAAGAAGCAACATCAGGATACAACACCTGTTAATCACCTTGACACTCTTAGTGGATACGTAAAACAACAGATTAAACCAAGGGCAAACAACTCCTTTCATAAAACTATGGTTAACAGTAATAAGTCTTCGGAAGTTAGCGCTATTGCTGGGGCTGGAATTGGTGCTACAGTTGTATTTATTATAATGAAAATGTTCTTGTAAACATTATGTATGTTATAAAATGGCTCTCTATAGGGGATACAACAAAGGTGTAAATAAAGTTGATCCATCAAGTGGTAGTGTGTTTGATAAGGATGGATTTACCATGAAGGGTGACATTGAGATGGATGGTAATGAGGTGAAAGGTTTAGGTGCACCTACAGATGATACTTCTGCAGTCACAAAAAAGTGGGTAGATGATGAGATCACTAAACAGGATTCTGTTACAATTCAACCAGCAGGGTTTACAATGACTGGAGATATTAATATGGGAGGTAATAAGATAACTAATCTTGATAATCCTACTAATCCAGGTGATGCTGCTAGTAAGAGTTGGGTTGAAGGTAGTCATGCAAGTTTACCTGGTCTTATCCTTACAAATGACCTCAATATGTCAACCAATGAAATAAAGGCTTTAGGTAATCCCACAACTGGAAATTCTGCTGTTAGTAAGGACTGGGTAGTTGGAATGCTAAATAAACATGTATTTGGACTTGATATTTTTGGTGATATTGATATGAAGGACCATGAGATTAAAAATCTTAAGGATCCTACTGATGACCAGTCTGCTGTTAGCAAGGGATGGTTTAATTCAAACACCAGCAACTTCCTTAAGCTGTCTGGAGGTAATAATCAGTTTATCCGAGGTAGTGTTCTATTTGATGAAGTTCCACATACAAGTAAAGATGCCTCCACTTCTAGCGGCCTGATAAGAAGAGGCTTTCTGGATAAAAAACTTAGTTACTACGTTCATCGTAACGGTTTAAATACAATGACAGGTAATCTTAAAATGGATGGACATGAAATAGTAAATCTTAAGGATCCAACTACCGATCAGTCTGCTGTTACAAAAAAGTGGGCCACTGATAATAATTTTGTTAATCTTGGAGGTCGTATGTTAGCTGATATATCAATGGCTGGATACAGACTTTTCGGACTACCTGACCCAAGAATTGATAATGAAGCCGTTCCTAAAAAGTGGTTCACTGACTTTATATCAAATGGGCGTAAACAAAGGGAAACTCGGGCAGGGCTTACATTAACAGACATCATTGATATGGGAAATAATGAGATAGTAAAGTTAGGTGATCCAACAACTGATAATTCTGCTGTATCCAAAAAGTGGGTAGAAAATAAGATTAGTGGAGGTAGAAATAAGCGTGAGACCTATAGTGGTCTTACTCTATCTGACGACCTTGATATGGGTAATAATGAAATAATAAAATTAGGTGCTCCCACAACTGATAATTCTGCTGTATCTAAGAAATGGGTCACCGATCATGTCAGTGGAAGCTCAATTAGTAGCAGCGGGTTCACTATGACTGGTAATATTGACATGGGGGGTTATAGTATTACAGGTCTCAAAGGTGGATCGGTTAGGGATACCAGTGCACTTTCCGCTAATACTATATACTCCTGGTGTAAACAGTTCCTGAAGCGTAATGGTGGTACTCTAGACAGCAATCTTGATGTTAATGATTACGAGTTAACTAGGATAGGCAATCCTACGACTGATGGTTCAGCTGTCAATAAAAGGTGGGCAATTGATGAGTTCATGAGTAGTAGAGGTGGACTGGTAAAGGGTGATTTGGATATGGGAGATTCAAGTGGTATTCTTGATCTAAAGGATCCGGTAAATGATAAGGATGCAGTTAACAAGCAATGGGTAGAAAAGAATTTCCTAAAACCTTCCTCAGGACTTGTACAAGCAGTGGCTGATAAGAGATACGTAAGAGTAAACCGTCACATTCACGCAGAGTGGATCTGGGGTTATCGTGGCGTATCAGTTGCAGCAACAAGGTACTATGCTTACTGTCACGATCAGATTCCACCTTCATGGAGAACAGATACTATTAATAATATGACAGACCTCAACCTTGAGTCAATTACTATTAAATCAGATTTTCCAAATTTATCAACCATTCAAAATATACCACTAGCTCTAATCCTGTGGGCTACTGTATGGGAAAAACAATCTGATGGAAAATATACACAGGTTAAGAAGGAAATTACTTTGAGAACAGTAAACTTAAGAAAACTGTCACATACTTGGTTTAATGGAACTTACACAACTACAGGTGGAAGTACAGCTTGCTACGTTTTCAAGGGTAATAGTATGTTCTATTTAGGAAATCAGGTTGAGCTGGTAAATAATACGCTGGCCTGGTGTATTATAGTTAAACCGGAACACTCAATGCCAACTGGTTCTAGTATGGACTTGTCTTTTTGCTGGTCACTTCGATACTCAGGGTCGGGTGCTTAACATTTGTTGTACTATAAGGTATAATGTCAAAGTGGCGCTCATGCTTCTCCTGTTTGGGTAATATCTGTGGCTGTCGTAGGAGGTCTAACAAAAATGGGAAGGTTGGTGATATAAATTTCTCTGTATCCAATGATATTAAGGTTGAGGTGACCACACAGGGTAAAAAGGATGACGCTAACAGTGTATCCAGACTACAAAGGCCCCCTGCCTTGTGTACCCTCAAGGAGGAAATAAAAGATGTAGAGGAGGCTTTGGAATAGGAAGGTTTGATGATATTGGAAAAGTGTAGTCTCAGTTAATCCTGAAGCTTTGAGGTAAGTTAAACGAAAAATAACTAATTCTAATCCCAAAGGAAAAATCTGGCGTTTTTGAAAAACCAATATGATCTAGAACCGTATAACAATAAAAAAGAAAATTTAATTAAATCAGGTGTGTAAGTTTTCACGTGAACGCGAACGAAAAACTAGTCGTCTATACACGCCAGTTCCTATACTACTTATATAAATCATAGGTAGCCCACTAAACGGCTGAATTTAAATTAAAACTTATAATTATAAAATTATAAAATAATCGCAAATTAGCGAAATATATTGCAAATGTAGCTTATATTAAATCGCCACCCGATTGCACTGTCGACGAACTGACGTATAGTTATATAAAGTATATAGTATATATATGTATGTATATATATATTCTCATGTCTCGGAAATGAAATATTTTTTTATGGGAACTAACACTTTCGAACACGCTTAGTTCAAATCCGTAAAGGCCCTTCTCCGTAGATCTGCAGTTTTCTCACGAACTGCTATACATGTATTTTATCTTCACTAATTTCACGAAAAATTTTAACATTGATCAACGAACCGCATCGATGACGACAAACGATTATGTCACTCAAAATTAGTAACTAGTCTTCCTCTTAACAAAAGACCGTTTTTCTAGTTTTCCTTTCAAAAGACCGTTTTGGCAACAATGCCTATCATTAATTCATGCATTTACCTACTTTAATTGCTTTTAAATTTTGCGCACAAGCTAGATTTAATTCTCCTAACAAACACACCCCTCCCTGTTCTGGATAATTTATATTTTTTAAGTTAATCTACATTATAAGTATACCCAAACAATCTATATTTATAAAAAATCATGAAATGAACGGATTTTGCCTATATTTTCCAAACATTGATTTAAAATATAGTATTAGTAATTGGTCAACAACGAAGCAGGCTAGCGTTGTTTGTTGGCATAACAACACGATCATTTTAAAATTTTTATGAAAAGTTTTTATATTTTTTGTAAAATATAGCAAAAACAAATAATATTTTCTGTTTGTGGAAACACTACGTAATTTTAATACTGCAATTCTATTATTTATTTACGTGGTGTTTCCACAAACAAGAGGTATTATATGGTTTATCACCATGTAATCCTACAAAGAACTTATGGCAAAAATAGTTGAATGATTAGTACTTTTAACTATACAACAATCAATTTTACTGTGGGTATGTTATGTTTGCAAATGATGAACCAGGTGGGAATCGTAAACGTAGAATAAAGATTAAAGAGTGACTGTCAACCACAATGCATTTGTTTACATCTCACCTTCGGAAGTGACAAATAGCAACAAATGATGAGTATATGATAATGACGGTGATTTCTTTGGTGCAATTTTACTATAAAAAAGTTAAAATAAGCAAATATAACCATAGGATGGTAGTAATATATTATGCATTGAAAACCGAAACATCTATTATTCCGGCATTAAAATGGGCGCTAAGCAGGTTTGGGCGCACAATGCATTGTGGTTGACAATGACTCTTTAATGCCCAGCATAACGTGCGCAAAAGAGCCATATATAGGCAAGAATATAGACATCAAATTTTATTTAAGAAGTGCTAACGCTTCGTCTTTAACTTAAGACATCTTCGGAGTAAATGAATATAGTTTGGTAATGAGTTACAAATATGAATAAATCACTACTTACAATGTCAAATTACAAGGTAATAGGAATGCGGAGGATGAAGGGGGCGGGCCGGGCGGGCGAGTTAAAGAAAATAAGTCAGATGAGTGAGAGAGGAATGGAGCTACCTTGCTGATTCAAAGTAGGTTTGAGTTTTAAGATAAGAAGACTTTCACGGACGAGAAGTTAATCTGGAGAGGAACAGGATGATAGGATCTTAAGGGGTCGATTACATGGAGAACTTTCAACCCCTGGGTTGAACTCAGCCCTGTTAACCGGGTTGAAACATTTTGCGATTGCATGGACGATTTCAACCCTGGGGATCAAACGCTATACTACACGTTCTGGACTTCGATTCCCAGACGTAAAAAAAGCCTTCATTTTATTTTCTTATAATAAATAGTTACTACAATGCATTCTCGAATGACGAATAACTCAGAATAATTTCAGCCCAACACCGCGGAAAAACGTCTGCGCATGCGTCAACCTTACCTGTAATAGTATTGTGAACTTGATGAGAAGCTGTTCCGACCGTTTCCGAAGGCTCAAAATGGCGGTAAAAAGGAGTGTCTTCATTGTGCGTCTTTACAGCCAGATTTCGAGCGCAAAAATAAACATGTCATTCTAAAAACTAGGAATAAATACAGCCAGAAGGTGCAAGAAATTGTATTGTACAAGAACATGAACCAAAGGTGATTGTTGACAAATTTATCGTCTGAAACATTTTGTTTATCAACTAAGCAACGACAATTTCCGAATTTTCGTTTGAGATACATTTCTTTAAAAAAAACTGTGTCGCCAAATATAAAAAATTTTCGTGTTCACAATAATTAAACTTTAGGATTTATTCTACAATTTGAGTGGGTTAAGAAGCTTAACTTTTCGAGAGTTTTCTTAACTTTTTAGTTTGAATAATTTTGGAAAAAATTTTCGAAGTCGTGTCCGTTAAAATCAACAATTTTTTACATGAATTATATTTCATTCCATACTTTAAATGCCAGGACGCTTTCAATTAATGTCTAGTCTACCCATTTGCTATATTTTCTCGTTTGTTTTACTAATTTTTGACCAATTAATAAGCATGTTTTTGTTTTAGAAATTGATATTCGAATTCCCCGCCATATTTTCATAGTTTGGTGCATGCGCAGACGTTTTTCCGCGGTGTTTTTCAGCCCTGGGTTGAAAAAACAACGCGGAAAAACGTCTGCGCATGTGTGGGCACAAAAACGATGGCGAGGAATTTAAATGCCAAATTGTAAACAAAAACATGGCTATATATTTAATTATTTAAGGCAATTGAAACAAACGAAAAATACACTAGACGCGGGGTAGTGTAGATATTAATAAAAAGTTTTCTAACATTTAAAATCTAAAAAGAAAGAGAATTTAAATTAAAAATTACCATTTAAGACCGGGAGGCGTGTGAACATTTCTTGAAAAATTGTCAAATACCGAACTTAATTAAGCACAAAAGTTAAGAAAACTATCGAATAGTTAAGCATTTGCGCACGATTTAATTGTAGAGTAAATCATTACCCTTAAATATAGTCAACGCAAGAATTATACATGCAAAAAAAGTTATTTACAAAAATGTGGATCATATGAACCTACGAAAAATATCTTTGTATGGTTCAGTTAAAGAACGTTTCACACAATAAATTTATGGCAGTCACCTTTGGCTTATTTTCTTGCATAATACTACTTCTTGCACATGTAGACTGTAATTATTTCTAGTTTTTAGGTTGTCACGTTCATTATTCCGCTTGCATTTTCATAGAAAAGGCAAAACATCGAAGCTAGTCGCTCCTTGTCGCTTCCATTTTCAGTTGTTGACAACCTTCGGAACACTTGACATCACGTTCGCAACACAGATTTCAGTAATGTTGATGCATGCGCAGACGCTTTACCGCGGCGTTGGGTTGAAACAATTACATGACAAAATTTTCAACCCAAGGCCGAGTTCAACCCCGGGGTTGAAATTTCAACCCTGCTAGCCGAAGTAGGGCTGAAATTTCAATCCCGGGATTGAACTTGGCCCTGGGTTGATAATTTTGTTATGTAATGGAGAGTGTGATTTTGCTAGAGTTTTGTATTACAGACAGGACAGAAATTTCTCAACCCGCTAAACAGGGCTGAGTTGGACCCCGGCGCTCCACGTACGAAAAGCGTATGAAAATTAATGAAATAATTTTCATACGCACAAAAATCCTTTGAAATGTCAGCGTATGAGTACCGTACATCTGGCGTACCTCAAGCATATTCAGAGTGTGCCTAGAGTATGCTGATAAACCATACGTCCGAATACGCACAAAATTTTTGAGCTTGCTTAAAAAAAAATTCTGCCTCGCCAATGCCAGCGTTCGCCACCGTATATGCGACTGTGCCTGAAACGTATATACAACCTATCCTAACGTAACCCTAGCGTTTGTTAGCGTATACCAGCGTATGAGTAATATTTTTCATACGCGCGCTGGCATCCCACCGGGCACATGACGTTGTTTCAACGTTGAAATTTGGTAGAAAAAAGGTTGCGACGTCGACAACCTAATATCTACGTTGCTCTGACGTTGTTTTACAAACATTGGTTCAACAGCAGCCAACAGACGTTGAATTAACGTTCATTCATGCATGGTTAAATGTACGACGTCGATTTGTGAACCAATCTCAACGTTGTTTTAACGTGGATTCAACGTTGAATTATGGTTGACGAGATTGGCAACCTAATTTCAACGTTGTTTCAACGTCGAAACAGTAACGTCGATCCAATTTGCATAGTCAACCTTTTTTCAACGTCTATCCAACGTCTGGAAGGTCATTTCCAACGTTGATTCAACGTTGGATAAACGTTATTTTGCCCGCTGGGATACGCAATGGTGTGACAGGGCCTTTAATACTGCTTAAATAAAATTATATGTTTATATTCCTGTCTATATATGGCTCTTTTGCGTACGTTATGCTGGGCATTAATCCTTACATTATACGTTTACGTTATGTTGTGAGCTTTGATTTAATGCAAAATTTAATCTGAAACGCTTCGTAAAATGTTTTGAAATACTTTGGCTCTGTGTTGGTGTGATGTACTCAGGAAAATATGATATTTGCGATGTTATTCTAACAGTGCATCCACACCAGGCAAGCCGAAAAGTTTGCCTGACCACGGTGGGTATCGAACCTGCGACCTTTGGGATACTAGTCCATTATTGCTCTACCAACTGAGCTACCAGATCAAGTCGGTTCCAGTTGGTGATATTTCCGAACTATTTAGTTCATTCTTTATCAATGTATTCTAATTAATTAAGATATGATACTTTTTGTGTGTGTTGGTATTATGTACTCAGCTTGCCCGGTGTGGATGCCCACTCTGAATAACATCGCTAACATCGCATTCACCTGAGTACATACAGGGCCTATCAAAGAAACTCGGGAGCCCGGGGCAAATTTTTGTTTCGGGGGGCCTATTTTTCCCGAAAATGTTGGCGCGCGGGGAGGAGGTGAAATTTTTTTGCCGGAATTTCACAAAAGGGTCAAAACATTTTCTGGTCGACCATTAGTTAAACTAACGTTCAAAATTTTTTTTTCCGGACAAATTCCTGTTACAACATGGGTCAAACCCTTTTTTCGATCAATAAATGTAAATAAATACCATTACTTATATCCAAAAATTGTTTTTTTTTATTTTGCAAATTTGGGGGCCCCCTTAAACTGGGGGCCGGGGAAATTTGCCCCCTAATGCCCCCCCCTGAAAGGCCCTGAGTACATAACACCAACACATAGAAAAAGTATCATAGCTTAGAATACATTGATATCGAAGGAACTAGACTCAGACCTCACAGCTCAGTTGGCAGAGCATTGGACTAGTATCCTAAAGCTAGGTCACGGGTTAGTTTCTCACCGTGGTCAGGCAAATGATGTGGATGATCACTCAGCGAGTAACATCGCAAACATCATGTTTTTAAACGTTCAAGTAAAGCTTTCAAGTAAACTATTTATGGCGATAAATTTTTTTAACGTAATTTTAAAACAACATTTTATTAATTTTTTTCTTAATTAAACTAAACAGGGTAATTTTACAGCTACATTTTAGGAAGGCAGCGCATGTTTTACGCACAAAGTAAAACAACAAAATTCACAAACATGAAGCTTTCATGAATTTGCCGTATATTTCAAAATTTGCCATAAAAATGTTATGTAAAACCTTTATTTCAACATGGTTGCCCTTTCAGAAGACAAGCTTCTGCTATGAATAGGGGCCCTGAAAATGTCAATTCTTCTGATCTCATGAGTGTAAAATTGCATGAATGCTCACTGTATGAAACGATTTTCCAAATATATATATATGTTCTTAAAATTTGATCGTGAAACCTTGCTTATCCCACTTCTTGCAAACAGCCATATTTTTGAGATCAGTGAGGTCCATCCACACACCCATGACACGACTTTAGACTTCGCTAATACTTTTGTCTAGAAGCTGTATTGCTAAACCGGTTTTTTGTCCAAAAATTTGTATTGTTACATCGGTTTTTCCTGGTTAAGACAAAGTAAAAATCCGACAAACACTCAAGAATGCCGAGAAAAGCCATCGAACAAGTTTTAATAAAACTTTTTCGATTCTTCCTAACACGAAAATAATTTTACACAGAAATACAGCAACTTGCGGGTATAATTCAAGGTTATTTCGTTTTAATTTGTTGACTAGAGCAATATTTCAAAAACTAGCTTTTCAATGAAAACAAATCATGACTACTTACTAGAACAATTTTCGAGTAACTGGACGCTAATATAAGGCTTGTACAAAGCTGCAATCATTGATGCACCATAAACTGCTTTCTTCGCTCGCATGCAGAATCGATCGTAAATTTGAAACGAAATCACGTATACATTCGTAATTCCTATAATTATAGCGATAAAGACTGGAAAACTCTGTATTTTCGGCACTTTTTTAGTTAATTCTCCTTTCTAAATCACTTTTAATCTGCATATTCTCATATACTCGTATCAAAACAGCTTTCTTGTTTGTGGTAGACGACAATTTAGTTCGTTGAGAAACTTGATGACAGATTTTCTTTGTTTGTGATATTTTATCCAATCAGATTGAAGGAAAATGACGTACGTAGTGCTAAGTTGTTCCAAATTTGATATGCAACTTCGTAACCTGGTTCATTTTTGTTTTCATTGCATCTGACATTATTTGCCTCTGTCAACGCTAAATGCATGTATATCCCTCAAAAAAGACAATTGCAAGGAAATCTAGTTTTTGAGATATGTTCTATAATATAAATACTATTAAGCGGGTTCGACGTATGATCCATACTCGTTTCTCGTATGTTTCCTCGCCATTTCATGCGGGGCTTGGAAAAAATACTTTCGAAACCTGTAAAATACTCGGCTGGATAATATATGTAACTTAATAGATATTGATTAAACATTGAGTTTCTTTATTTTTCATGAATTATGAATCAGTGTGAGATACATACAGATCAATCGCATTCTATTACAGAATGGCTCATCACTACATTTTGTGGTATTATTTACGTTATCATGTTAAATTTTGTGTAAGAATCAGATTTTTATGCTAGATCAAATAATCACCATATGACGTTAGTCCACTGATATTTCACTCATCAAAATAATCAACCTTTTGCACTCCAAAATCACTTAAAGTGGCGATACCCGTATTGTGACTTGTCCTTAAAAATAATATACCTGCCTATGCAGACCAAATGGGCCACTGCCTTATTGCTATGCCCGCTATGCATGACGGTAGGAGTCATCACTTTGCAATCGAACGAGATGGCTACTGTAGGAGCGTGCGAGAGATGGAATGAATTAACAACATTTTGAATCCATCGATAAGTTTTAACCACAGGAAAACAACAAGAGATCCTTGAACTACTTGCAAATGTAATTTAATGGCATTACGTTTGTTAGTGATGAAGAAAATGCGCTGATAAGGGAGTGAAATGTGAACACGTTTCGCAAAAAAATTCGTGAATATATAGGGACCAAAAACAGGTACATTCGTGGTTTAAATTAAGAGCGGAAATTTTTGTCAAAATTAACATTCACCGACAGTTGTTTGTTCTGAATCTCTAGGTTATTTGGATTAAATAAGTTTTTAAAAGGCATTATAAGCTTTGTGAATTTGACAACCGTTGTCATGATTTAATGTGCGAAGTTTTCATCCAGAGACCAAGCGTCTCTTTGACGATATTTCTAAGGTAAAATTTCTTCGATCTGTATAATAATAACAATAATAGTATTGGAACAATCTTCCAGTGCTAAAAAGTTGCTAGGTTATATCAGATGGAACGCACGGTTCATTCAAAACACCAGCGTGAGGAGGGCATTGTATTTAACATCAGTACGCCCTCACTTAGGATATGCCACCCACATCTGGTCGCCACAGTCTATCAACCTAATTGCAAGATTGGAAAAAGTTCAAAGACGTGCCACGAAATTTATTCTCAATCTGCCGTTTTCCAGTCCAGACAGTTATTCCTCACGTACGTTTACAGTCTTTATCATTACTTCCATTATGCTACATTATGAGTTTTTGGATTTGGTTTTTTTCTTTAAATGGTGAACAATCTGGTAATAATAAAACCTTCTGTAGTACCAAAAACCCGAAGCGCCAGACCAACCAGATGGTCTATAAACGCACGGACATACCTAAGATTGTCATTCCCAGGAGCAAAACAACGACGCATCAACGCTCGTTTCTATTTCGAACAACCAGGGTGTGGAACAGCCTAGCTGACAAACTGAAACTTAACATGATAAATTTGAACTCATTTAAATCTACCATTTTAAATTATTACTTCCGTGATTTGGAAATTTCCTGCGATCCAGAAAATCCAAGAACATTCAAAACCATATGTACCAAGTGTTATACCGCTCGAACCCTGGTTCAGCCTCTTAAGTGCTGCTATTAGTCAGTTTTGATGGTTATTCCATATTTGTATGTCCTAATTCGGGCCCGCAGTAATTGGCTCACGCTGTTGCGGTCACCCTGCCTATAGTCATGTATATAT